CTGCCTCAGGGATCCGGGGTCCCGGGGGTCCCTGGGCCGCCCTCACCCCCCGGCACAGCCCAAGGGGGCCGATAGGAAGCTGAAGACGGACCGGGAAAAGGTGGAGAAGCAGCCGCCGCCGGAGCGGGAGAAATTCCAGCCGTCCTACGAGAGCACCGTGCTGGCCGAGGTGGGACCCGGCCCCGGCGCCCCCTCCCCGCGGGCCGGGGGTGCCCCCCCCGGGCCCCTCTGGCCATGACCCCCCTCCACCCTCAGTGCGCCCCGTGGCCGGACGCGCTGGGTGCCCCCCACAGCCCCCCGGGCACCCCGGGACTGCCGACCCCGCACCCCTTCAAGCTGCTGAGCCCCGAGAGGTGAGTGGGGCCCCTCGGGACCCCCCCCCAGCACTGTTGGGGTCCCCGCTGAGCCCCGGCCCCTCCCGCAGGGGGTGTGCGTCGCCCGCCTGCGCTGCCGAGGGACCCGCCGAGAGTCCCGGCGAGGTGAGGGAGCCCCCCGAGAGCCCCCCGGGAGGGGCTGGGTGGGCTGAGGACGCGCCCCCTCTGAGCCCCCCCGTCCCCCGCAGGCGCTGAGTCCCTGCGCATCCCCCCTGGAGACGCAGCAGTGGCTCCTCCGGCGCCGCTTCTCCGCCTGCGCCCGCGTGTTCGCCAACTTCACGGGTGAGACCCCCGGCCGGGGTGGGGGGCAGAGCCCACCCCCCCCATCTGCGGCCCCCTGACCCCCCCTGTCCGCAGGCGCCGACCTGCTGAAGCTCTCCCGGAGGGACCTGATCCAGATCTGCGGGGCCCCCGACGGCATCCGCCTGTGCCACGCGCTGGCGGGCAGGTGGGCTCCTTTTGGGGACCCCCGGGAGGCTCCGGGAGGCCCGGCCGCGTCCCGAGCCCCCCCTGCCAGACCCTTCTCTGCCCCCTCAGGTGCCCGCGGCCCCGGCTGACCCTCTACGTGGCGCGGGAACCCGGCGGGGCCGAGGGTGCGGAGGACGGGGGGTCAGGTGTGTGGGGTGGGGGCTCAGGGGGGTGGGAGGGGGCTCAGGTGTGTGGGGTTGGGGCTCGGGGGTGTGTGAGGGGGCTCAGGTGCAGGGCAGAGCAGGGATGGAGAGTGGGCGCTCACAGCCCCGTCCCCATCCCATCCCCATCCCATCCCATCCCATCCCATCCCATCCCACCCCATCCCAGGGCTGTACCAGGAGCTGCACCTGGAGCAGCTGACGGTGGCCGAGCTCACCGGGAAGCTCGCGGAGCTCCTGGGGCTCCCCCCGGGCCAGATCCTGCGGGTCTCCCGGCAGGGACCCTCCGGCATCCACGTCCTCGTCAGCGACGCGGTGAGGACACGGGGACACCCGGGGGTGACAGACACGGTCCGGGCCCCCCCCGGCCCCTCTCACGCCTCCCCCCCGTGCCCCGCAGATGCTCAGGACCCTCCAGGACGAGACCAGTTTCGTGGTGGCGATCGCCAAAGGTACCGGGGGGGCCGCGGGCGGGCGGGGCCGGGCAGGGGGCGATCGGTGGCCCCGGCTGAGCCCCGTCCCCCCCCCGGGCAGCCCCCGGCCCCGAGGGCTTCGAGCTGCTGCTGCGGTAGGACCCGGCCCCGGAGCTGCGGGAGCCCGGGAAGGGACAAATCCCAGCGGAGCGGAGCTGGAGCCGTGCCGGGAGGGAGAGAGGAACCCCGGGATGGAGAGCAGAGCCCTGGAATGGGGAGGGGAGCCCGGCATGGAGGGTGACCTCATCCCTGTGGGGCCTGCGGGGGTTTGGCATCCCCCCACCTCAGCTACATATATTATAAATCTATATCTACACCTTTACTTGCAGTTAATGCATTATTACACCCCCAGCGTCCAGGAAAGCACAGATCACACCATTAAAACAACATTTCCCAGCTCTCTGCACCACAGACCTGAGGGAGCACCAGGACAGGGCTCAGCTCCTGCGCCCAGTCCCTCAAACTGAGCCCCCCCCCCGAGGAAAAAATGGGTTAAAAACCCCGACTGGGACAGAGCTGGAGTTGGGAAGGGGGGAGGGATTTGCACAGAGGAGGGAAAGAGGCTTCTCCTCGATTTTCTCCATTATTTTGCTCCCCCTAAGCTGCAGCACGAGGAGCCTCTGCCAGGATTTGGCACAGAGGGAGGGAGGACAGAAACCTTGAGATGGAAAATAAAGCTAAAGGCAATAACCCCCCCTACCAAAAAACCCACCCCTCAATACCACACAATTCTTCACCAGAAGAGGCCAAAATGTTTTAAACCTCATTTTTCAGGACACTGTCACCAAGAACTTGTGAACAAGCCGAGAACTTTGTCACACTGACACCCCTCCGTCCAAAAAAAAAAACCAAACCCAAAATCAACCCAAACCCCACGACACCATGGGCCAGCCACGAGCAACACAAACAAAATAAAAATACAAAGGGAATTACAGGTTTAGAAAAGAGGAATTTGTCAAAGTCCTTGTTTGAAACCAGCCCTGTGAGAGCCCACCCCGTCCTCCCCCTCTGCTCACGGGATTGGGGTAAAAAGTGTCTCAAAAGAGCAGAAAAGCCTCATTTTTGGTTGCACTGGGTCTGCTGGAGGATCTCCTCCTCCAGGAGGTCCGGGGCTGATTCCCTGGAGAGGTCCCTTTGTCCAGGAGGTCTGGGGCTGATTCCCTGGAGAAATCCCTTTGTCCAGGAGGTCTGGGGCTGATTCCCTGGAGAAATCCCTTTGTCCAGGAGGTCTGGAGCTGATTCCCTGGAGAAATCCCTTTGTCCAGGAGGTCTGGGGCTGATTCCCTGGAGAAATCCCTTTGTCCAGGAGGTCTGGGGCTGATTCCCTGGAGAAATCCCTTTGTCCCTGCCCCGTCTGCACTCCGAGGGCACGGGGAGGCCCAGCGGGAGTCGGGAGCAGGGCAGGAGCTGGAAGGCAGGTCCAGGTCACAGGAAAACTCTGCTGGGAGGTGGGAACAGACAGTCCAGCCCCCGCCCCAGGACTGGGGACACAACCCGGGCTGTTCCCAAGGGAGGACAGGGATCAGCTCCGGGGATGGACTCGAGGAGCTGCCCCAGCTGGGTTTGGCACTGGGGTGGGATCCTCGTCCAGGCCTGGAACTTTAACACCTCAAAAATCTCAGGATGGGGCAATTCCTCTAAATTTTGGGAGCAGACTCCCAGTGCCCAACACCCTTCACAGCCACCTGAAGGGGGGCTGAGCCCCCCCACCCCTCACCAGCCCCTCGGGAAGGATCCCAGGTTTGGATGGGGCTTGGAGCAACCTGGACCAGTGGAAAGTGTCCCTGGGGGTGGCACTGGATGGGCTTTAAGGTCCCTTCCCACCCAAAATATTCCATGACTCCATGCCAGGGGTTCACACACCTGGAGAACCCCCAAACTACCCCTACCCCCGGGTGCAGGAGGTGGATTTTCCTGCCCAAAGTTATCCCTCGGGTGAGACAGGGCTTGGAAAATGGTGTTTATTGGTACTTATAAATACAAACATCAGGAAGAGTCCATTTGAAGACGGATAATTGATTTAAAAGGACACTGTCAAGTAGTTTTGAGCTACCTTAATGCTGCCACCCTGGTTGGCAAACAGAAAAAGAGAATGCTTTGGGTTCTGTGTTCTTGAGTTTTCCCTGGAAAACTCTGCTCTGTTCCAAAGGAATCCAGTCATCCGACTACACCCCGCCTCCGAAATCCCACTTTTCGCTCTCCCCTGCCACAGTATGAGCTGAACAAAGTGGTTTGTTTTGCTTTTTTTTTTCCCAGAGTTGTGCAAATCCTGTGATTGCTGGGTGACCACCATCCTCTGCCACCCTGAAACCTGGAGAAAGTTCTGGAAATGAAGCCCCTCTCTCTCGAGGAGAGAGGGAGAATCCACAGCGCTAAAGGGGATTTGAATAAATATAAGGGATTAAAAGCATCTACAGGAAGGCATTGACAGTATCCTTTTAACCACAGCAGCCTGGGGTTCCTCCCAGCAGACCGTGAGCACAGACTGGGGGGACTGGGGGGAGGTGGAGGGAGTAGCAGCCCCCGGGGGCCCTCCCGTGCCTGGAGAGCCTGGGAAGCAGCTCGTTGTCCTTGGAGCAAACTCCTGGTGAAGAAACAACCCCCCCAGACCCCGGGAGAGCCGTTCCTGGTGCTGCACCTGCTCTTCTCCCACCAAAGGAATTCCTCAGGACCGAGGGGAGGCCCCAGTTCCTCGGTGGTTCAGCCCCAGCCGGGCGGGAATATCCGGAATATCCACGGACACGAGGGCTCCTTCCATCCAGCGGGAATGACTGACACAGCTCAGCTCCCCCCAGAGCCTGATCCAGGCCCTGCCCCGTTAAACCCTTGGGATCTGCCCAGCAGTTCCACCCCGGGCACCTGGAATGCCCGGATCAGTCCGTGCTCTCCGTGCTCCCCTGGAGCACCTGCGCTGATTTTGCCTGAAACGCCCCCAAAACCAGCCCCCAACCCCCCCCCTTCCCTCCCTCCCCCCCAGAGCTGGACCTGGCTCATCCCAACCCCTTTCCATCCCTGTGGGTCCTCCTGGGGGTTCCACACTTACCTGTGGGAGGTGGGAAGGTCGGGAAAGCCCCCAGTGCTCCCTGGAGCCAGGGCGGCTCCCAGACCTGCTCCATCAGGGAATCCTTAATTTCTTCATGAGGGCAACAAGCAAAGAGGTTCTACTTTGCTTTTCCTTGGGGATAAGATGAAGGGATGGAGGGAAAGGACAGGAGGAGGGAACTTACAGTCGCTGGAACACAGACTAGAACTTTATCCCTGCATTGAGAATTATATCTATATATATTATTCCCTGTATTGGGAATTATATCCTTGTCACTGGGATAAAACCTGAAATCAGAATAAATTTGGACACCCAATCCCTGCTCAAACAGGCCAAGAAATCCCACGAGAGCCCAGCCTGGGGTGCAGCTCGACCTGCTCCTTAAAAACCTTCCCGACAGGCTCGGGCTTCTCCTGGGAAAAAAAAAAATTTCCTTTTTAGAACTGAAATTAAGGATTGGTCACTTTGGGCTGGGAGATGTCAAAGAAATGACCGAATTAAAAACCTGCTGAAAGGAAAAAAACCAAAAAAAAACAAAAAAAAAAAAAAAGGAAAAAAGCAGGAGGTGGGAAGGGTCAAAAAATCCGACATCGCAGATTCCAAGGTCTACCACAAGCACCTGGGAAAGCCTCCGAGCTGGGCAGTGTGGATATGGGAGAGACACGGTCAGGCTGGGAGCACAGGGGATCCCTGGCTCCCAGGGGGATCCTGGGTTCCAAGTAAATCCTGGCTCCCAGGGGGATCCCGGCTCAGCAGCTGCTCTTTCACTCCCTCACTGAAGAATGGACATGGAGCTTGTTGGGATTTTCAGGTTTGTTGGGGTTTTTTCCCTCCTGGACAACGGCTGCGGGGGTTAAAGCGAGTCCCTCTCCTCTCCCCCAGCCCCCACTTCCAAGGATTCCGGTTCCTATTCCAACCCCACCAGCAGCATCAGTCATTCCGGGGCGGAAGCCCCCCCGTCCTTCCCACAGGGAGGGGGTTCAGCTGAGCAAGCCCAGCGGGGATGGGCCGGGATTCCCCGCTCCAAAGCCGTCCCGGCTGCGGCTCCCGCCGAGTCCCCGTTCCCGCCGGCACAGGGGGGATCCCGGGGGGCTCCGGGGGGCTCCCGGCCCCGCTCACTGGCCCTCGCAAACGACACCGGGATCGCCTCCCTCCAAGATACTGGTGTGTCCCCCGGAATGCCACGGGCGCAATTCCAGCCTCAGTTTGCCGGGATGAGCGTTCCAGCGTCATAGGATGATGCAGCATCTGCAGAAGCGCTGTCGGCTCCCGCCCACCGAGGGCGGGGGGGTCACCGGGGCGAAGTAGGCGTGGACCTTGATGTTGGGGAGGTGGGTCTGGAACGGCAAAGACGGGCAGGGAGAGGGGTCAGAGGGGGTGGAGCACACCTGGATCACCTGGGCCACGCCCCGAATCCAGGGGGGAGCACTGCGGGTTCACCTGTGGGATCCGCCCCCCAAGGAGGGTTACAGGGAATGAGGAAGGAAGGAGGTTTTTTCCCATCCCATTAATCCTCTGGTAGCTGTGGGGGACAGAACATCATCTCCATCCCTGGAGGTGTCCAAGGCCAGGCTGGAGGAACCTGGTCTGGTGGGAGGTGTCCCAAGGTCCCTTCCAACCCAAACCATTCCATGATTTTATGACGTTACTTGACAGACCCACGTTCTCCCTGCAGATAAAATGTGACCAGGACTCTTCCTTTACAGAGGGAGACATGGACTTGGGAGGGGATATTGAAGAGAAATTTTTCCCTGTGAGGGGCTGGAATGGAATTCCCAGAGAAGCTGTGGCTGCTCCATCCCTGCAAGTGTCCCAGGCCAGGCTGGAGCAACCTGGGATAGCGGGAGGTGTCCCTGGGGGGTGGAACTGGACGAGGTTTAAGGTCCTTCCCACCCAAACCACTCCACGATTCCATGACTCCAGATGCACCAAGGATGCTCTCCCAGCCCAGGTGATGAGGGCTCCTCCCATGGATAACCCCCCTCCCAATCCCGGCCGGAGCGGCGCCTCCCTTCCCGCTCACCCTGAGTCTCTTGATCCCTGCCCGGGTGATCTGCTGGCAGTCGTACAGCTCTATCCTCTCCAGGCTGTGGCAGCTCTTGAGGTGCTCCAGGGAGGCGTCGGTGATGAGGGGACAGTTGTCCAGCTCGATCACCTCCAGCCGGTCGTGGGCGCAGGCGCCGTTCCCGAGGTGACGGATCCCGTCGTCCGTGATCAGCTCACAGTGGGATAAACTCTGAGCCCAAACACAGCGAGTTCGGGGGTCAGACACGGCTCCTGCCACCCCAAAATCCAGCCCCGACCTCCCTGGGGACACGGGGGAGGGTGGGCTGTGTGGGGTGGGGCTGGGCTGGTTTGCAGAGTGGATTTTAGGACTGGTCTGTGCTCCCTCCCGGCACCGGAGCCACTGGGCTCTGTGGGCTCTGTGCATCCAAGGGGAAAACTTCCAGTTGGAGTGGATAAAAACCCTTCCCTGTGAGGGTGGGGAGGCCCTGGCACAGGTTGCCCAGAGAAGCTGTGGCTGCCCCATCCCTGGAAGTGTCCAAACCCAGGTTGGAGAACCTGGGACAGTGGGAGGTGTCCCTGCCCATGAACTGGATGAGCTCCAAGGTCCCTTCCAACTCAAACCATCCCATGATCCTATGAATGGGAAAGGCAGCTCTGGAGGGATGAGACCCACAGGGTGGCACAGAAATCCCACAAACACCCCTGCAACGGGAGAACCCACCTTTGGGACACCCCTGGCCTCACCCACTGTGGGAAGGGCCCTGGAATTGGGTCCAAAAACCAGCAGGAACACGATGGCACCACCTGGTGTGGGGTTTTTTTTTGGGGGGGGGGAATTCAGCAGATTCCACTGGGAATTCTGCTCACAGGAGAACCCCGTGCCCCACAGCCCTTCCGTGGGATCAGTGGGAACAGCAGGGGAGGGACAAGAGGTTCCTCAGGGTCGGGTTTCCAGCAGAATCTTCCCAGCGGTTGCAACACAACTGTGAAGTCAGAGAGGGTTTAAGATCCCTCTGTTTCAAGTGCTGGAAGTCTCCCTTGGAATACTCACCAGGACCTGGAGCCGTGGACAGTGTATGGAAAGCTGGATTAGGGTGCTGTCTGTTATCTGGAAGAGAAGAGGAAAGGGCCCCTTAACTTTGGGTGTGGTGCACAAGGACTTAGTTTTTCCTCTCTATGAATAAAGAAATGGCAGAATTTTCCCAAATCCCTGAGTTTTCCCCACAGCCACTCTCCTGAAGCCCTCAGGGACTCATCTCCTCATGGAATCAGCTCCTGCCCTTTGCAGGCAGAGGCACCACTGGGTTGTTTTTAAGTTCCCCAAGGAGCTGAGATCAGATCACAATTCCAAGAGGCAAAGGAGCTCCCGGGGGTTCAGGAGGGCTCAGGATCCCTCCCCCAGCCCGTGGACTGTTCCTGGTTTTCTGCAGGAAGAAGGAGACTCACACAATGGTTTCTAACCCCAAGGCCCCCCAAGGAGCTGCCTGGGATGGGTTTGTGCCAGGCCAAGGCTCGGCCCTGCTTCCCTCATTCCTTTTTTGGGGTCCTTTTCCGTCCCTTCCCGTCTGGACGGGTGTCATTTCCTCCTGGCAGCTCCTGGGTTTGTGCCCTGGGAACACCAGGGAGGCAGAACCCCAGGCCAGGCTGTTCCCAGGGAGGAACCACAGCCCTGTTCCCTCCTTGGGCTGGATCCACTTCCAGTCTATCCTTAGGGCTGGAGGTTTTTCCATGGGGTCTCGAGCCAATCCAACCCTTTTCCCTGTAAATGCTGCAGCTCAGTTTGATTCCAACCCTCTACAACCACTGTCCCAACCACCTGCCAGAGGAAAATCCCCCCATTTTTAGCAACATATGAGTGTAAAGATCATTCCCTGGGATTCCACCCCACGTCAGAAATCCCACCTCACACATTCATGGTGTGACCTGACATCCATTCCCAATAAATATTTATCATTTACAGCAGCAGCATTAAAATGAAATACAAAACAAAGATAAAACCAAAAATTTCCTTCTCTAAATCCAGCCAGTCTGACTGCTCAGGATTCTAAATTAGGTTCTAATCTGGAGACAATCTACTAATTTTTCACCAGCTGTGCCAAAAGGGAAACATTTCCTACCTGGACACACTCTTCCAGGTCCATTTTTTCAAGCTCATGGCAGTTCTGGGAATGAAGAGCAAACCAAACACCCAAACTCAGTGTAAAGTTCAGACAATAAATATAAATATAAATAAATATAAATATAAATATAAATATAAATACAAATACAAATATAAATATAAATATAAATATAACCACCACAAAGACAGTTTTCTTTAAAAATTAGGGGGTTTTCTCCATGAAATATCAGGACTGGAAGGAAATTTTGCTGCTTCTTTAAGAACAGCACCAAGGACAGTGAAGGAAATTTCGCTCATTTAAAGGCACAGAGGGTTTTAATGGTAATTAAGGTAATTAAATTTAGGGTCATGTGTAGGCAACAGAGATGAACCTCAAAAACCAAGCAGCAAAGTCTGTAACTCCCAAGTATTTAATGTTTCATGTGGTTTGGATGTAACCCCTCCCAGATCTGTGGGTCCATGCCAGAGATCCCATAAACCCTTTTATAACCCAGATTCCATAAATCCTATTTTTTGCAACTTAAAAGAGCCCATAAACCCCAATTTTTGCAATTTAAGACTCCACAAACCCTATTTTTTTTGGTAACTTGGCTTCCACAAACCCTTATTTTCGTAACTCAAAGGCACCACGAACCCTAATTTCTGTGACTTAGATTCCACCCAAACACCGAGAAAAGAAGTTTTCCCAAAATCTACTGGAGTTTTTTTGTTTTTTTTTGTTATTTATGCCAGAAAGAAAGGAAGAGGGGAAGGAGGGAAGGAGCCCTTACCCTGGCCAGGGTGGTGAAGCCCACGTCGGTCAGCTGGGAACACCTCGCCACCTCCAATATTCTGCAGGGAAAGAGGTGACAGGAGCCATGGAAGGGGCCCAGAATCCCAGGAGAATCCCAGGAGAGTGTCAGGAGGGATCCCTGGGATCACCCAGTGCAACCCCTCCCAGGCTGGGGGACACTGGTGGGGTTGGAATGTCCGGAGAGGGGGATCCACGCCCACCCTTGGGCAGCTGCTCCCCATGGAAATGAAGCTCTTCCTCATGTTGAGGAGGAACTTCCCGAGTTTTAGTTTATGTCCTGGCACTGGGAAGAGCCTGGCACCGCCTTCCAGCTGCTTCCCAGAGTTGTAAGAGGAGAGTTACTCAGTGGGTACCAGGGCAGGAGTTTGTTTACTCCAGCTTCACTCGCAAGAGTTTAAAAACCAGGAATCTGGTTTTTAACCAGGTTTTAACCAGGAATCTGGTTTTCAACCAGATTTTTAACCAGAAATCTGGTTTTTCTTCTGCTCATCCCATTAAAAAAAACACCTGCATGAAGCTCAAGGATAAAAACTGGCCTTCTAGGAAGATCTTCAGAGGCTGAAAATGAATCTGATTTTTAACTAAGAATCTGGTTTTTAACCAGATTTTTAACCAGGTTTTAACCAGGAATCTGGTTTTCAACCAGGTTTTAACCAGGAATCTGGTTTTCAACCAGGTTTTAACCAGGAATCTGCTTTTCAACCAGGTTTTAACCAGGAATCTGCTTTTCAACCAGGTTTTAACCAGGAATCTGCTTTTCAACCAGGTTTTAACCAGGAATCTGGTTTTCAACCATGTTTTAACCAGGTTTTAACCAGGAATCTGGTTTTTCCTCTGCTCATCCATTAAAAAAACCCCACCTGGACGAAGCTCAGGGACAAAAACTGCCCTTCCAGGAAGGCTGAAAACAGCCCCGGTGGCACCCGAGCGCTGCCCCAGGACCCCCCCGCTCCACGTGGGGGTGGGAATTCCGGGGAATTCCGGGGAATTTCGGGGTACACCCACCTGAGGCGAGGGCAGTTCTGCCCCAGGGCGTTGAGGATGGCGTCGGTGATGTTGGAGCAGCCGGAGGCACACAGGGACTGCAGCTTGTGGCAGCCCCTGCAGATGGTGATCAGCCCGTCGTCCGTGATTTGCTACGGGACAAATGTGAGATTCCATGTGAGATTCCATGGATTTCCCCTCCCACAGTTCCGGCCCCGGGAGGAGTTCTGGCTCCCTCGACCCCAAAATGCACCGAGGGGTTTTGCTGGAGCAGCTGGGACAGGAGAAACCCCACTGGAGTGGCTTGGAAGTGTTGGGGAAGTCGTTTTCTGTGTGCAGGGAGGTGTCTGGGAGCGGGGCCAGGGGAGGGATGGGGAAGGGGCTGGGATCCCTGCCTTTGCTATTCCTGCTTGGAAAGACCATCCCTGGGCACAGGGGGTCCATCCAGCCCCATTCCCAGACACATGGATCCCATCCAGCCCCATTCCCAGACACAGGGGGTCCCATCCAGCCCCATTCCCAGACACAGGGGGTTTATCCATTCCCAGACACAGAGATCCCATCCAACCCCACTCCCAGACACAGGGGGTCCCATCCAGCCCCATTCCCAGACACATGAATCCCATCCAACCCCACTCCCAGACACAGGGGGTCCATCCAGCCCCATTCCCAGACACAGGGGGTCCATCCAGCCCCATTCCCAGACACAGGGGGTCCATCCAGCCCCACTCCCAGACACAGGGGGTCCCATCCAGCCCCATTCCCAGACACAGGGGGTCCATCCAGCCCCATTCCCAGACACAGGGATTCCATCCAGCCCCATTCCCAGACACAGGGGGTTTATCCAGCCCCATTCCCAGACACAGGGGGTCCCATCCAGCCCCATTCCCAGACACAGGGGGTCCCATCCAACCCCACTCCTAGACACAGGGGGTCCCATCCAGCCCCATTCCCAGACACAGGGATCCCATCCAGCCCCATTCCCAGACACAGGGATCCCATCCAGCCCCATTCCCAGACACAGGGGGTCCCATCCAGCCCCATTCCCAGACACAGAGATTCCATCTAGCCCCATTCCCAGACACAGGGGGTTTATCCAGCCCCATTCCCAGACACAGGGATCCCATCCAGCCCCATTCCCAGACACAGGGGGTTTATCCAGCCCCATTCCCAGACACAGGG